TACGAAGTTACGGAAAATCAGTTAATTAAAAAAACGGAGACGTAACAGTACGTTACATTTAATTTCAGATTTTAACTATGGGCCGAACTTCGGTGGCCTGATAGCTAGCTACGGCCATGCTTGTTACGTTATGATAAAAAGTAACGATCACAACGTCCGCATATTATTATGTCATTTCGTAGACTAAACTGGTAATACTAACATGATGACTTTTAACACAGCACCATTGACAACTGAGCATTAATCAATACAGTATGCAAGAAAGAAAACAATATATATGTATCAATATGAAGGTTTTAAATTTTCTAATTAATGCTGGTGAAACTAAAGCAGCATTTCGTCAGCTTAAACGAAAATGAAATCAGGCATGCCATCTGTATGACATGGACAACGACCATGATCGCCGACACGCACCCATCGACCATGACAGTGTGACGCCTCCAGCGCCGCCCAGCGAGTAGATCTAGACTCAATGCCATGTCCAGTACAGCGATAATTAAGATGCTTTCTCATGGCCGCTCCCTCGCAGGCGACACAAACTCGTTCACCCTTACGGAGAAGTTTGAAATCATCTCCAAGAACGTTACATTTGTGTTTTGACTTTGTTACTTCGAAAACTACACAGTACCTGTGAGGAAAAAAGAAAAAGAAAAACTACGATAAACACTGAGGAAGAAATACAAAAAGTGAAAAATTTACATTATTTTAATCTATATAGACGGACAAGTAACATGAAAACATCATTATACTACTCTTACATTTTACACTGAAGATAAAAAGCAAATAATTGAACTTTTTAAAGCTTCTTTAATATTTAACTTCATTATTTGGTCAACTGACAGACGTAGTATAAGAAAAAAGCAAATCAATTTTTTTTTTAAAATGTTCATATTTATTTTCTTTTAAAATGACTAATAATTAAGGTAAGCACACTTAAAAAACGATTTTATAAAGGAACGTTTCGTGGTTATTATATTTATGATCAGAGGCGTCGCTAGGCGCTGGCACCCGATTCTATATGATAGTGCTTCGAAGCCATTTGGTGCTCTTGAAAAATCAGAATAGAAAACCACGATCCATATCATACTCAAACGCCGAAAATTCCCGTGAGTTCTAGGCCCGAGTCTCGAATCTTTTAAGCATTTAGCGACGCTTCTGCGTATGAAAACAATGCCCACAGTGGCACAGAGGTATGTCTGCGGAATTACAACGCTAGAAACCGGGTTTTGGTACCCGTGGTGGGCAGAGCACAGATAGCCCATTGTGTAGCTTTGTGCATAACTTCAAAACAAACAAACAAAACAGATGTTACGATTTTTAGTGTCCAAATTGCCATACATCTAAATAACCCAAAGCAGATAATTCATACATTTTTGGCTATAGTATCAGACGATTTCCATGTACGAACTCCTTTAGGGTTATCATAAAGATAAGATACCATTTCTATTTTGAAAAAAGAAAGTACCCATTCATCTAATCGATATAACGAGCTACCTTAACCAACACTGTCTAATGTTTGCACAAGCTTTTGTGCATAAAACATTCGTTAATCATAACTTTTGCCTATTTAGCAATGTGCAACAAAGTCAAGGTTTAAAGGTGGACTCTAAGAAAACGTGATTCAACATGTTCTGTGTATTAAAGGGGGCAAACTGAGTTTCACAGTATGTAACATGATCGTTTATGGTGACGTCTTGATTATTACATTAAAATTTTATGTTGACATTATAATTGTTACAATACGTTGCATGATAATTTATGGCGATATTTTCCTTGTTACAGTATGTAGCATGACAATATATGGTAACGTTGTCGTTGTTACACATCAGAAACAATTATATGTAAAGGCACAAACACACAATAAAAAGTTTTTCGAGCTA